ATATATATATATATATATATATATATATATATATATATATATATATATATATATATATGCATGTATGTATGTATGTTCGTATGTATGCATGTATGTATGTGTGTGGGTGTATTGTCACGTATATTACATATCGGACTGATTGGTTGACCGCCCTGACGTGGCAACGAAACTTTGTCTAGGTCTCCTTCTCCTTCTCCTTATCACTTCGACTTCACCCAAAGCTGTCTCTGATGTTATCATAACGGAACAGACCTTTATCTCCATTTCATTCATGATCCATTCATCAGTATGGTTGTTTAATCTTGATCGATATTAATTTAGTTTTCCAGATGAGTGTCAATGAGATTACTGTAATTTTTCGCTTTGCCAGTTCTGATGTCTACAGGAGCATTTATTAAACTTACTCATAGATAGCAAAATTTTAACAGTTAACAGTATCTAATTCTCCATTTAGGATTAGCTTTTAGTGGTCAAAATTCTCAGTATCTGCCATTATCTTAGATAAAGTCATATAGCACTATGGTAACGTATTGTGGCGAAAAGGGTAAAAGTGAGTTAATGATCAGGACATATATATAGGGTATTATGGTAGTGAAAAGGGTAAAGTGGGGGAGCAACTGGATATCGATAATTACCTTGAATGTATAGGGAATGGGAATAGAGAGATTGGAAGGTGGATGAAAGCAAGGAGCGTTCTTTTGGGTCAGTTTGACTGGGGGAGAGAGGGAGTTGAGGTAGGGTGGTAAGGGGTAAAGGGAAGAGATACTGGGGGAGATGCTTTGAAGAAGTAAGAGGAGCGGGGCGAAGGGCAGAAAAACCTCGTCGGCATGCTTTTTGTCTGGCCTCAGAGTGAGGCCTAGTTTGAATCTAGGAAGTGCTACCTCAGATCCGAGCTTGAATGCAGGGCAGCTCTTATCAAGTACCACCACAAATGGCACAGGTGCATGATGTTGGGCACAGAGGGTAGCGGGTTGGACCGACAGTGCTTAGAAGGGTGGGCCAAACGTTAACATTTCTGCACTGGCGGGGAAGGGGTTGATATGGTTGGGCAGGGCAGGACATTCCGCCAATATAAATTTTATGGGGGAGGTCTACAGAAGCTAATCTTAGTCATTTTGGTGTAGGACTTATGTTGGCCTTTGGGAGAAATAGTGTAGCACTGTATTGTCACTGAATTATGGTCAACGAGGTAGGAAAGTAGGTCGTTTTCAAAGTAAGCCAATTCTTGTCGTAGAAAGGGCAATCAATCAGGGAGATGGAAACAGTTCTGGTACAAGTATAAAGGGAGGAGTGAGGCTGGGCAGGAATAGGTTTACCAGTGAGGTCAGTCGGGTAGATAATGGACGAGCTTGAGGCTCAGATAAAAGTATTACAGGGCGTGAACAATAGAAAGAGATGCGAAAAGAAACTTTGCCTACTTGTTTTTAGAGTCACTTTTGGAAGAGAAGGGTGTTGTCAGGCTGCAGGGGGAATCACAAAGAATCGATCTCACCTGGCTGGGCTTAAAAAGAGTGCTCAGAAGGTTTGTAGCAGAGGGGCGAGGGCAGGAGGAAGAGGGAATGGTGTGGGGTGGGTTAGTACTGTGGGGAGGAGGACAATAAGGGGGAAGAGTTGTAAACAGGGAGGAGAAGAAAATGAAGGAGACTATGCAGGGAGAGATGGAGGGGAGGATGTTAGGAGAGAAAAAAGGATGTATTCTGTAGGTTGAATAATGACCTAAGTGGATGATTTGGAATGGATAGTTGACGGCAGACATCTAGGAGGGGTAGTACTTGTGGCCAAAACCATGATCAATCGAGCCAGGGGTCGGGAAACCGGAAAAGTTAGATTTAGACAGGTTAGTTGAGGGGGCAAGCCATAATGCCCCTAATAAGGGTACAAAATCTTCCTTATTAGCCACAGTGAGCCTGAAATATATGGGGAAGAGAAAGAAGTTGCCCTATTAACCAAGTGAATACCGTGCCCATGCACCCTCGAGGCCTTAGGGAGTGGACACCTTAGGAAGTGGACAGAAGAATGGATCAAAGAAGAGAAGGAAAAGGAAAGGGAGAGAAGAAAAGACCATGCAAAATTAGTTGAGCCAAGGGTTGAGACACAAGGTTGGGGTGATCCCTAACTTTGAGCCGTAGTCTCTGTCTCCTATGCTCCGCCTCCGGGGGAAATTTAATAATATAATTTAGTTTGATTCCATTTGTTACAATGGATATTCTTGGTGTGACATACTGTCTGTTTTATTTTGCTTCTAAATTATCCCTTGTGTGCAAGGAATGGCCGGGGTTACCATCCACTGGTGGCGAGGGATTCGAATGCAGGTCAGCAAGATTGTTAGACGAGATCGCTACCACTGCACCACACAGCCCACAGTGTAAAGGGTATGATTTGACCTCTTATACATTGGTGACAGGACAGTAAAAGCTTGGGTGGCTTTACACTCTTTATTCTGTAAGAGTTAAGCACACAGAAATTATTAAACACACAAGACAGGTCTTGGGTTAAGCGCTGGGTCGCCTAAGGTCACGACTGCCAGGGGTCATCCTTGGACTATAAGTAGCGGCGGCCACCGGAGGCAGCTGCAGGAACCGGGTCAATGGCAGCTAATCGGCAACTGTTTCCACCCGGTATAAGGGGTGTAAACGTGAAAAGGGGTACATTATGTGAATATAGAAACAGTGTAATACTGAGTGAATATGAAAAGAAGATGATGTTATGTGCATGTGAAGGCAATGTTATAAGATAATTTATATCATAAACCTGCTTATGTTTCGGCCGTCTGTAGTGGAGCAAAGTCAAGAAGCCTGCCTGGCTGAAACTGGTTTTCAGGAAGAACGTCTGCAGTGTCAGAATATGGTTCCTTGGCCTACATCTCGCTGCCACCACGAGATTATTAAGTTCAGAAACCGTAAGTCGGGCGTGAATGTAGGGTGTAAGAAGGGGTGAGGGAAAGACAGTATGTTGTATGTTGGGCGTGTGAGTAATTGAGAACCTGTGCATTTGCGTGGATCTGGAAGATTATCAAAATTCTATTCTTTGGTTTTAGCCTAACATGCTCTGATTTTAAGATCCCTCTTTCAGTCCTTTCAGGGTGCGGTTAGAATAACCATTTATTCTATGCAATTCAGATATCCCGACTATGACAGGAAGTCGGGTAGATTCAACCTCATGCTTATTACCAGACTTTACTATAAAATTTTCTATAACTTATAGTTATAGAAAATGGAAAATAATTTGGGGAATATCAATTAAAAAAGATAACTGACACTTTTCAAGGAAAACTGCGCATTTACAATATTGACAATATTGAAATTAGAAAATATATTTTTTATCCAAATTGACAGCTTCAACGCTCTTCAGGTAGTGAGACTTGGCAAAAATTACGTATGATGGAAAAATTGACTAAGTCGGTATTGAGTCCTTTTCAGCAGCTTTTCAGGAACTTTGGTGCAGGTGGCTTGCGTGCGTGTGCGTGATTAACGTACCTGAGCTGTCAACAGCGACGGTGTCAATACTGTTAACATACAGCGGAATATCAACTTGTCTCTGCGGCGTGAGAGGAGCTAAGAACTTGGGGCTCGACATCTTGCGATGCACCTAAGCCGAGAAGGCGAGGCGCGGAAGGCAGGCGAGGCGCTGCCTTGCACGGGTGCGCAATAGTGCCCACCTGCCCCCTTATGAAGCAGATTTATTGATGGCCGAGATCGATTGCCTGATTATTGGAATTTTGTAGCTGGATCCACAACTCGGTCACTTAGGCTCTTTTATGCTTGTATTTGTACACAACATATCATACCATTAAAATAGCATATTCTATTTAATGAATTGCTTCCCTAAGAGAGTTAATAAGATTATTTACATTTCAGCTGTCTCCCAACACACTTTTCAGTGTGAAAGGAGGGTACAGGTATTCTACACACCTTTCCGCAACATGGGTTACCGGTAACGGCTCCTGACAGGTCTCTCATTGTGGGTGGTCTTCTCTAGCTTTGCTAACACTAATTCATATTGTCGGGCTGGATATGCACGCGCTATCCCATCGCCGAGGTCATCTTTAATTTCTCGCACTCTAGTAGTGGCGATCCTCCATTGTTTTTTCCATAAACTCTGATCATGAGTTTTGCGTCGCTCTATGAGAGGGAAGAGACCATCGCAAGGCTGTGGCAAGCATTACAAGGTAAGTCCATGGGCTATTTCGCTCTCAAAGGCCCCCTTCGCGCCACGAAGATTTGTG